CAGAAACTAAAACTATTAAAACATTTTTTTTTGTTAATTAAAATAAAGCAATAAAAGAAAAAATATATATTTCTGGAAGAAAATGTGAAATTTTGCTTGTTGGAGTTGAAGCAAAAAAATGCTAAAACTAAAAGCAAATAAAAAAAGTAAATGCTCTTATAGTACATAAATACTAAAATAACATTTATCCTCAATGTTATTTGAAAGACGTAAAAGTAGGGGATACTGTATTTCATTTAAAATATAATATATTAAATATATGAGAAGTTTATTATTTCACATTTTTTTATTGACATGTTCTTAAAGGATTATATTTAATAAGCTAGCAGGCTAACAGGCTAGTGGTATGCGAAGCAGTTAAAGAATAAGAAATGTTTAATTTCTCAATCTATAGCTAATTATATTTTAATTAACATAAAAAGTGTGGTCCAATTTGTGCAAAAGGATCCAATGGTCACGACACCGGATTCAGTTTTATACAGCGTTATCATGCTATTCCAGTGAGCTGTATAACATAAAGCACATATAGTGTCTTCTGAATTTGTCTAAATTTATTTTATACTAAACATGCTAAATATAAGAATCTTAGTTTCTGTAAACTTATGAGCACACAACTGTAACAGGTGAAACCACACACAATCATCCATTTTTGTTTTCTATGTATTTGTATTTTTTTTTATAAGAGGTTCTGTTCATCTGTTGCAGAAGAAGTCCACTGGGAAACATCTTGCCGGAAACATGAAAGGGCATACAGAGCATGAGAGGACTGAAAGCTGCAACAGAAAACAAATCAATGGCTATAAAAGTGTCACCTAGATTGACACTTGACAGTGAGCTCTGTTTACTACAGAGCATGCGTTATGTGCTCAAGAACAGGAACCATGGCAGAACAGAGCCCATGGATGGAGAACAAAGCCAAAATGGATTTTATGAAATTGCTTGTGACTGAATGAAAACACCTGTTTAAGACAATCTTCTCCCAGGCTGCTGTTGTCAACACTGAAAAGTAACACTTGAATCGGAGGCTTTTTATGTGCTGAAAAGTTGACGGGACAAGTTTAAATGCTTTTTTTTGTTATTCAGCTATGGTGGGAGGAAGAAAGGGATCAATGTTCTTTCAATTCTCTGACAGCAGTACTGTGAAGGAAAAAAAAAACATTTAAGAAACTTCAATACTTCATTCTTTGACAGGAGAAAAAGACGTTTTTTTAAAAAGTAAAGGGAATAAAAAAAAAACCTTGAAGACATGCTCACGGTTTCTGTGTCCTGTTCTGGGGATCGTTAATCCAAAACCATTACATTCTTTTGCATTAAAAATCAAAGTAATTCTATTTAACATTCACATAACTGTAAATTGTTGTTAGTTTCAATAAAAACCTAAGAATACAGTGACATGTATATACAGTGGGGCAAAAAAGTATTTAGTTAGCCACCAATTGTGCAAGTTCTCCCACTTAAAAAGATGAGAGAGGCCTGTATGATTCTAGACGTCTTTTTTATTTGGTTTTGTAATTTAAAATATTATATATATATTTTCAAAGTCTAAAAAGAGCTCATCCTATTCAAATTCAACATGAATAAACAACTTCTCAAACGAAAAGTTACATGTTACAACAGCGGACGATTAAATTCTCACACTCACTATCACTAGGTGCATTTACATGGAGCATTGTATTCCAATTACACGTTTACATGCAACCAAATAATCGGATTGACTGCTCAATCGGACTGAAAAGCTTTCATGTAAACACCTTAATCGGCTCAATCGGAATGAAATTTCAATCTGATTGAAGGGAGTGGTTTATTCCTTTTCTAATACGATTAAGAGTGCCTGTAAACACTCGATCGGATTGAACCCCCGAAAACTGAAAGGACTGCGCATGTGCAATGACGCAGAAATAGCGTAATGAAGTATGACGCGCAGAACGAAGAAGAACCTTTTTATTCAAAAGGTTCTTCCTTTTGAATAAAGTGTTGTATAAATGCGTGTCCTGTCATTATAAAACTCTCCTTTTACTCGGAAACTGTGAAGTGGAGCAGGACAACCTCCCACCAGTCCTTGTTTTGAAACAAAAAGTGTCGAATGAAATTAATTCAGTTCGATTGAACCAAAAATTGTGCATGTAAACATTTAAAAGTACAATTTGAATGAAAATGCTCCATGTAAAACACCTCAATCAGAATAAAAAGGCCCAAACAGATTCATCAATCAGAATGAATTCAGTGCGAATGAACCAAAAATTGTGCATGTAAACATTTAAAAGTCCAATCTGAATGAAAAGGCTCCATGTAAACCTCAATCAGAATAAAAAGGCTCATAATCGGGTTGAGAGGGGTGAGATAAACCTTTTCTAATCCTTTCGATGGGACATGTAAACACTTGATCGGATTGAAAACCGAAACTGGAAAGTTTTGCACATGTGCAATGATGTAGAAATGGCGCAATGATGCAAGGAACGAGCCAATGTTGTTATAAGCATCATTGTACAAAGCTTCATGTACTTTTGTCTCCTAATTAGGACCAAAAAGAGAGAAACATTAAGTCTGCTTTTTAAAACAAAGTAAAGGAGTATGGTTAGTATGCAAAAACAGCGGGAAACTATATTCTTGCAGTGTGTGCATGTCAAAAGATTAAATCTGATTTGAAGCTTGTGACATATAAATGCGCACATCAACCCGATCACTTTATTTAGCGTTCATGTAAACACTACGCTCAGATCCATCAGTCGAAATGATTTGAAACAAAAAGTGTCCATGTAAACGTGGCTACTAACAACACAAACATAAGCAAAATTCACAAGAAATAATCTATGAGAACAATAACCTATAGGCTTGCATGTAAACCCCAGGTTTTTTGGCTGGTGTACCACACAATATGTTAACAACTCCTGAGTACACATACTGTCCGCGGACTCCCACTCTCAATCCTGATGTCATCTATGATCTCATGCTTTGAAGGGTGTGGGGCATCACGGAGCGTGTGCAAACTCCAAAAACATGAGCTCATCATACACCCACGATAACACATTTAGTGGAAAAGAAAAGTTGTTTCCTCGAAGGTCAGGCACATGTTTTCTTAAGGCTGTTTCACACCATGCCAACGTTTCAATCAATCCGTGTAGTATTTTAAGATGGCTTCATACGCGGCTTAACCAATCATATTTCAGAGTAATAAAATATCTCCATATGATTCTAGACGTCTTTTTTATTTGGTTTTGTAATTTAAAATATTATATATATATTTTCAAAGTCTAAAAAGAGCTCATCCTATTCAAATTCAACATGAATAAACAACTTCTCAAACGAAAAGTTACATGTTACAACAGCGGACGATTAAATTCTCACACTCACTATCACTAGGTGCATTTACATGGAGCATTGTATTCCAATTACACGTTTACATGCAACCAAATAATCGGATTGACTGCTCAATCGCACTGAAAAGCTTTCATGTAAACACCTTAATCGGCTCAATCGGAATGAAATTTCAATCTGATTGAAGGGAGTGGTTTATTCCTTTTCTAATACGATTAAGAGTGCCTGTAAACACTCGATCGGATTGAAACCCCGAAAACTGAAAGGACTGCGCATGTGCAATGACGCAGAAATAGCGTAATGAAGTATGACGCGCAGAACGAAGAAGAACCTTTTTATTCAAAAGGTTCTTCCTTTTGAATAAAGTGTTGTATAAATGCGTGTCCTGTCATTATAAAACTCTCCTTTTACTCGGAAACTGTGAAGTGGAGCAGGACAACCTCCCACCAGTCCTTGTTTTGAAACAAAAAGTGTCGAATGAAATTAATTCAGTTCGATTGAACCAAAAATTGTGCATGTAAACATTTAAAAGTACAATTTGAATGAAAATGCTCCATGTAAAACACCTCAATCAGAATAAAAAGGCCCAAACAGATTCATCAATCAGAATGAATTCAGTGCGAATGAACCAAAAATTGTGCATGTAAACATTTAAAAGTCCAATCTGAATGAAAAGGCTCCATGTAAACCTCAATCAGAATAAAAAGGCTCATAATCGGGTTGAGAGGGGTGAGATAAACCTTTTCTAATCCTTTCGATGGGACATGTAAACACTTGATCGGATTGAAAACCGAAACTGGAAAGTTTTGCACATGTGCAATGATGTAGAAATGGCGCAATGATGCAAGGAACGAGCCAATGTTGTTATAAGCATCATTGTACAAAGCTTCATGTACTTTTGTCTCCTAATTAGGACCAAAAAGAGAGAAACATTAAGTCTGCTTTTTAAAACAAAGTAAAGGAGTATGGTTAGTATGCAAAAACAGCGGGAAACTATATTCTTGCAGTGTGTGCATGTCAAAAGATTAAATCTGATTTGAAGCTTGTGACATATAAATGCGCACATCAACCCGATCACTTTATTTAGCGTTCATGTAAACACTACGCTCAGATCCATCAGTCGAAATGATTTGAAACAAAAAGTGTCCATGTAAACGTGGCTACTAACAACACAAACATAAGCAAAATTCACAAGAAATAATCTATGAGAACAATAACCTATAGGCTTGCATGTAAACCCCAGGTTTTTTGGCTGGTGTACCACACAATATGTTAACAACTCCTGAGTACACATACTGTCCGCGGACGCCCACTCTCAATCCTGATGTCATCTATGATCTCATGCTTTGAAGGGTGTGGGGCATCACGGAGCGTGTGCAAACTCCAAAAACATGAGCTCATCATACACCCACGATAACACATTTAGTGGAAAAGAAAAGTTGTTTCCTCGAAGGTCAGGCACATGTTTTCTTAAGGCTGTTTCACACCATGCCAACGTTTCAATCAATCCGTGTAGTATTTTAAGATGGCTTCATACGCGGCTTAACCAATCATATTTCAGAGTCAGAACTATCTGTTTTATAACTGCTATTTTTATGGTTTCTCTTTACGTACTTCAAGCCGGGTCAACATCTTGATGACAGAGAGGCCAATAAGACACGATTCCTTTTTAAAAACATCTTTTTAATAAGGTGCTAAAAAATCTTTGACATATTTCTGTAAATGGACAGGGGCACGTACGCCTCTCCAGTGCCACTTACGATTAGCATTACAGTGACAGAACAGAGCACAAGCACCGACTGCAGCACAATCACAGTGAAGAGGAGGACAGAACAAAGGTCACTGTTAATTAAGGCATCGTTAACAACAGGTAAAATAGAGAACTGTTCTGTACAAAGACACGAAAAAGTGATTCACATGCAGGCTTTTCCCAGAGAAGAACAGAACCGTGTGTGTGTCCAAAGTTCTCGGTTGGAAAGCTGTGGAAACGTGGGATTCAGCGTGTCCGTAAAACACTTTTCCTTTCCACTGATAACCGTCAATCAATTCCACTGAAGTCAACACTAAATCCAACAGCAGACAGAGATTCTTTTAAGCCTCAAGCCACCAAATTTCACCTTTCACAGCAAAGTGAAAGTGGCAAAGCAGTCCAGATACAGATGGGATCCATTTTTATGGTGATGTTGAAAATGCAGGAAAGAATAGCCCAGAGTGTGCATGGGTTATACAACAGGCTGTATTTAAAAATTTGAGAGGGAGTATTGCACTTGTTTTTGCATAAGTGTATGCCACAAATCATGACAGGCTACAGAACATGGTGGCTATTATTGCTGGTGAATAGTGTTGTACTGTTCCAGCAGTTCATAATGCCATGTTTAAATGCTCTTCTGCAACAGTACTCAGACATAAAAACCATTAACAATCCCTTATTGTCAACATTAGTGTATTAATCACTAAAATTAGTTAATAAATTACATTTAAATGCATGATCAATTGCATACAATTCTAAAAGGCTTGTGCAACAGACACCCACTGTGCGCATGCTACAGCTATAAACCAAGCCTTCACATGAGAATGGGACGAACACAAATGGCTACCTAAACATGAATAAAACAGATCCCTCATCACATAAACTGTGACCTCAGATGCCTTGATGTAGCATGACCCAGAATCAGACTAATGGATGCAAGGTGATTAGCTAAACACCACAGCGGAGTGGATTATTCTTTGCATAATATGGGTTGATATGGAAAACAAGAAGACTGGAGGACCACAGCTTCTGCCACTTATTGACAGTACTATCACAGGTCAATTAAAGCTTGGATCCCACAGGCTATTCACAAGTGACACTAAGCTCTAAGAGGTCCCCGGTCCACAGACGGCCATAGCTCCCGCCAGGTGGCTAATTGAGCTTGTCTATAATTATCCATTACACTCCCATTAGATGTGGTGAGAGCACTACAGGAGTCATCACCATGGGGCGCTGCCAAATCAGTGAATAGATCCGCTTGTATCTATGTCTCTCTAAGCAATAAAGGTCCCTTTTATTGTGCCAGTATGTAAACAGATAATTTCCATTAATCATTAAAAAAAAAAATTCATACAAATATTTTAAAAAGTCAAATAAAACGTAAAAAAGGGATGTGTCCAGGAGACAAAATGTCAAGTAGAAAGGTCAATATCTACACTTCTTTCTTCCTTAGTCAGTTCTCAGTTCCCGCTGTTAGTTATGATGCTAACACAATGCACTGCCATCACTGCTGGTCATATATTTCACAACTACAACATAAAAAATTTCTCTGCTGGAATATAGTGCCCATAAAAAGACTTCTTCTGTAGTCTTCTGCTGAAAAAAGCTCACGCTGTGTGCTCAGACAGAGACAAAGACATCCAAATAGAGGCGGTCATACGATTCCCTGAAGAAGAGGAGGAGCAGGAGACTGAAGATGCAGGAGCCTGTCAGACACCAGTTCAACCAGGACAGCTCTGAAAAACAAAAGAGCAAGGTTGACCAAGGTTAGGGATGACAGCTTTTAGAGCACCAGATGCCATGTACAGTATTTCAATGCATGATAGAAGACGTGTTTATCATATTCTTATAAATAACTCTAGTCCATACATTTCTTATTTTCTGTATGGTTGAAGGCTCATGCATTTTTTGTTAATCACTAGAAAAAAAATATATAAAGTTTAAATGAGAAAATTAGTTCTAACCTCACGTCACTTCATGCCATCTTCCTACTTATTAAACAATGACAGGTGAGTTACTGCAAAAAGACAGTCATTGCAACACGGTAAATTACCATTTTCATAGGTGTAACGTTATACTATTGGCTTGGAAAATACATTAATTTGACTAGAAACACCTTTGACTGTAAAGCATCATTCCAGTCGGGCGAGACTTAAAAAAGTGGATATGATAATAGAAATAATGCCCCACATACTCTATTTTTTTCATTTCACGACATAACAGAACTAAAGGTGAAAAGTTACAAACATCAATTCAGTTGACTAAATGTAGCTGACACTTCTGACCAAACCACATACCACATGCTTGTATGGCAAATAGACTATAAAATATTTCAGACAATTATATTATTTCTCTAGAGTATGTGAGGAAAAAAAGACACTGTTTCCCACAGCCGCTGTATTGCTTACATTGGGCAGTTAAAGATACGAGAGGTTTTACTTTAAGGTTGATGGTTAAACCAATAGAATAATTTCACAAGCAATGCATACGAGACTAAGATTCCCTTTAAAAGACAACACTGAAAACAGCATGTGAGAGCTGTGCAAGCACATTCAGAGTTGACATATACAGCAGCCATTCAATGCATGAAAGCCCAACACCAGCTGCTGTGGCCCTGATAGAGCGCTGGGTTGAATATAACATAAACCAGGTCAAACACACAGACCCTTGAGGACAAAGGAAAGAGTGCAACTTAATTTAATAGAGAAGTGAATTTCAATTTTGAGGCATCCCTTATCCAGATAACAGGTTGATCAATTGCCCCTGAAGTGAGAGCTGCAATCGATGGCAGAAGGTGAAATGCATGCTGGGTCAGCTGCTGAGCCCATTTGGGCTAAATGATATGATTTAGCCATGCAGCACAATAAACGCAAGCAGGTATGCTGGAGGATAGAGCCATGTCGACTTGAAGAATTGGGAAGTGGGGATTCTTTCCAAAAGCCCCCTCATTAATCAGGCCTTACTATCCCTTCAGCAGTGCTGGAATAGCGGCAGGTTAATGGAGTTGTGTTTATCTGGCTATTATGTCTGTGCCGCACGCCTGCCCCAGCCTCATCAATTTAAAAGAGAGAGGTAGCATCAGCAGGCGGGATGTCTGCACCGAATGTTAATGAAGAGAGCGGCTCAACTCAGGTAATCCAATCAGACGCCCCACAAAAATCTGTGAGTCGTCAACAGTCACCCTTCCAGTGCTAATGGAAGGCAGAACTTCGGACATAGCGCCCATCTTCTCCCTGAGGCAGCGACACTATGGAGAATGCAAAAGAAGTTGGGTTAAAGGATTCGATTTCTCCCACCTTCTCTCGCAATAATGGGAGCACAGCAATTATATCCTGTCTGTCAGTTTACGGAGCAGTCAAACTGTTATGTCGTATTTCCTTCCTCTTAATACCTGACGGCAGAATGCAGAGATGTTGTTATTAAGGGTACAATTTAACCGGTCTCTTTTCTGCCATCGTCTCAGGGGTTGTAATGTGCTGAAAAGGCCACGGCGGAATGACTGCGTAAACAGGCCACTCACCGTGACACTCGCAATCTCTTACACACGGAGCATTGGGACAAAAGTGAGGACAAGGGGGGAGGGATGAGAGGAAACATCCTACAGCCACTGTCTCACGTCGCCTAATGTCTTCGCAGTCACCCACAGGGCTCCTCACTTCCTGTCAGGCAAGCTAAGGCGTCTGAGATGGTCCTCTTATTGCTGTAATTATTCTTAATCGGTACCCATTCAGCTGGCAGACTGATGGCATATTTCAGTTCTGTTTAATGTCTCCCTCTGGCCTCAAGCAGCATCGAGAGAGGCTGACTGACAGTTCGTAGGCTCTGTTTTCTCCTTACAAGATTAAAATCACACCTATATTTTACACCTATAAGTTTGATTTGTTTACCTGGTTTGGCCTGGAAAAAAAAAGAAAAAGAAAGAAAGAAAGAAAGAAAAATATATAGAGAACAAATGAGCAGGTACAATTAATATGTATACAAAAATATCCAATATAATATTGCTTGATAAAAACATATGGTACCTATATATATTTCATCCCTATGAAAAGTACTTGAGTGAAAAAATTACACACCTCAGCTTTAACTTAAACAGGTTAAGCATGGTGTGAAAAGCTAGAAAACCTGGTTTCGCTGAAGGCTTACCTTCACAGGGAATTTAACATTAGCTAAATCAAATGCTGCAAAAAGAATTTAGAGAAGGAAGTGCACACTCTGGGTCTCTAAAAAAAGGTTACTGGACCCTTAATTTTATTATTGGCATTTGACATAAGGGCCACCCTCAGACACTAGATTACATGGCCTTAACTAAGCCACACAATCAAAAAGGCTGCATGTTCAATCTTTACCAGCTATTCACAGCTTTCAGATTAAGGGTAAATGAACCAACCTTGCCAATTTAAATGGCCAGCTGGGAAGGACAGCAAGCACAGTGAAGCTCAGTAAAGCACATCCCTTTCACTTCATTTTAAAGTGAATACAAAGAAAGTGTAAGACATTTGTGAATGTATCATTGGTCACAGGCAGAAGCGATTCCTGAAAGCACATCAATTCAACCTTGGGTGGCTGAAAAAAAAAGAGCATCTGGAAAATAAAAGAACATCTTTGAGGCAGGCCAATCTAGGTGAGGCAGGCGATTTTCAATGCACACTGAAAACCCAATCTAAACCATAGTTCAGATCTATATTAACAATGGAATGGAAAGAAACAAGGTAATTACAAGAGGCTAAACAACAGAACTCAATCAGGATTAAAGGGTCTTCTAACAAAGAGAGAGAGAATGACATAATGTGTCAAATATGAACCGCTCAAAAGTTTGATGTCAGTAAGATTTTTTAAAATGGCTTAGAAAGAAGTCTCTTATGCTCACCACAGCTGCATTTATTTGATCAAAAACACAGTAAAACACTAATATTAGAAAATATTTTTACAATTTAAAATAACTGTTTTCTATTTTAATAATATTTGTATTTAATAATAATAATAATAATAATATTAATTTATTCCTGTGATTTAACTTAAACAGGTTAAGCATGGTGTGAAAAGCTAGAAAACCTGGTTTCGCTGAAGGCTTACCTTCACAGGGAATTTAACATTAGCTAAATCAAATGCTGCAAAAAGAATTTAGAGAAGGAAGTGCACACTCTGGGTCTCTAAAAAAAGGTTACTGGACCCTTAATTTTATTATTGGCATTTGACATAAGGGCCACCCTCAGACACTAGATTACATGGCCTTAACTAAGCCACACAATCAAAAAGGCTGCATGTTCAATCTTTACCAGCTATTCACAGCTTTCAGATTAAGGGTAAATGAACCAACCTTGCCAATTTAAATGGCCAGCTGGGAAGGACAGCAACGGCAACTCAGTGAAGCACATCCCTTTCACTTCATTTTGAAGTGAATACAAAGAATGTGTAAGACATTTGTGAATGTATTATTGGTCACAGGCACTTGCGATTCCTGAAAGCACATCAATTCAACCTTGGGTGGCTGAAAAAAAAAGAGCATCTGGAAAATAAAAGAACATCTTTGAGGCAGGCCAATCTAGGTGAGGCAGGCGATTTTCAATGCACACTGAAAACCCAATCTAAACCATAGTTCAGATCTATATTAACAATGGAATGGAAAGAAACAAGGTAATTACAAGAGGCTAAACAACAGAACTCAATCAGGATTAAAGGGTCTTCTAACAAAGAGAGAGAGAATGACATAATGTGTCAAATATGAACCGCTCAAAAGTTTGATGTCAGTAAGATTTTTTAAAATGGCTTAGAAAGAAGTCTCTTATGCTCACCACAGCTGCATTTATTTGATCAAAAACACAGTAAAACACTAATATTAGAAAATATTTTTACAATTTAAAATAACTGTTTTCTATTTTAATAATATTTGTATTTAATAATAATAATAATAATAATATTAATTTATTCCTGTGATGCCAAGCTGAATTTTCATCAGCCTTTACTCCAGTCTTCAGTGTCACACAAGCCTTCAGAAATCATTCTGATATGCCGATTTGGTGCTTATTTCAATCAATGTTGAAAACACTTGCGCTGCTTAATGTTTTTGGGGAAACCATGCTACATTTATTTTCAGCATTCAGCAAGTTCAAAAGAATAGCATTTATTTTTAAATAAAAATATTTTGTAACATTATAAATTATATTGTCACTTTTGATCAATTTAGTGCATCTTTGCTGAATAAAAGTACTAATTTCTTTAAAAAAAAATATATATATATCTTAAAGATCCCAAACTCATGAATGGTAGTGTAACTTAATAAGAAATAAGTTTTTGTCTTCATGATTAGAAAGAGGAGTCAGAGCTTTTTCTAATGTGCAAGTGCCCTTGAGGTCAAAGTATGCTTCCGTTTTACATCTTGTGCGCATTTGCATTATCTGTGCCTTTGCCTCGAACTGACTGCACTGGTGGTTCTACTAGATAGCAACACTCACGGTTAGGTCATTCCTAACTAGTCTATGAAGATGGAAAAATGTCAATAAAAATAGCAGAATAGGAAGGGAAAAAACAACATATATGGCTGTGCAAGTGTTGTTCATTTCCCTAGGTTTTTAAGTGGAACTGCACCTTTAAGAGGAAGATTTTGTGCAGTTTAGTTAACAGTAAGCTTTTTTTTTTTTTGAAAAGGACTTTCTGCCCGTGGAAACAGCAAGAGGTTGCAGGATGGTTCTGATGAAACAAACAGAAATCCATCCATCATCTCTTCAGTGCCTACACACCGGTTGTCCTAAACAGAAACAAAGTGTTCAAAACTCAATAGAAATGCCAAAGCAATAATCTTCTATATATAGAGACCTCATTGTTTCAACGTTATTTTCAGCCATGGTACGGTGTTGGCGGGCCAATGCTGCTCTGACAGCCACACAAAGGCAGAACGAATCTCATGGCTTCATTTGGGACCGATAACCCAATCAGATTTGAAAGGATGAGCCAGTTAAGCTCACTCATCTCAATTTAATCTTCTCCAGGGGATCAGCAGAAAGACGGAGGAGTTTTCGCATCCCGGGAGCCGTCCAGCAACCTGACTGCTCATAAAACAGAGATCCGTCAGCCGGTCACTCAAGGCCACTGACAAAATGGGGATATGAGTGTATCACAGCAGACATCTGGACTTGAAAGTGGTCAGTGTGAACAGAGGTTGACAGCTCCATAATTTATAACATATGCTAATTTCTGAAGAAAATGTGTGGTGCTTGCCTGCACCCACAAGTGTTGTGTGTGGTTTCCCAGACATAGCTATGAAGTTTTAGAGATGCTCTAGGTTGTTTCTAGGATATTCTTAGGCTGATGTTGCCAGGCAACTCTGGTTAATGTTGCCGTCAACAGGCAACCAGGTGAGACACAGGGCCCACGACTGATCTAAAGTATCCAGATAGAAATTTGTTACCCATTCTCAGTGGGAAAGTGCCCAAGAAACATTCCTCAAAAAAAGTTGCCCGGCAAAATTGCTCAAAAAGTGTACATTGCAATTCATTTATTTTTATTTTGATAGCATTTGTTTTACTACTTTTAATTTACAAACGAATTATAAATTGATTTTAATAAAAAAAATTAATTTGAAAAACAAGATTTTTTACGGCGAAAACTGTACTGTGTTACAGTAATGAGAATCATTAAAACAAATAAAAAAAGATAATACCAGGCCAATAATGAAGAACTGTGGGATAATTATCCTGAAAATAAAATCACAACCTAAGTATATTACATTTTCTTTAAGATTTATTTATTTTTTTTTCCATCTTTTGGTTCTGGTGTGAAATGTGAACTAGGCATTTCCTGGACAGGTTTTGGGAGATTTCGCCCATTCACAACATAGAACATTATTAATAATTAATAATTACAATCACACATGTTATTTATGTGTATATGTTATGTACGTGTTATGTAGGCACACCAAAACACAATGCTTCATGTTTTTGAAAGGAAAACACATGCAGCCTTTGTGTCAACCTGACGAAATGGTGTCCACCAACAGCAAGAGCTAGAATATCACACACTACCTGTCAATCCAATGAAACCTGTCAGAAAGTGATACATGAATATTCAGCTGGAAGCTACTATTTACACAGCAAGATCGGGCAGACAAGTCAATCTTCCTGCACATTTTTTTCATCCTTACACTGATAGTTCATCATCATTCAGGAGGACAATGACTTTGGGACTGTGACACCATCCTAAGTGTAAGTCTCTTTAATATCTCTGCCATGTGTTCCTGTGTGTTTAGGCCGAGTGAAAGCTTAGTTTTCTTTGCTGTAAACCCTGCACTGCCTTTCAAGAGTTAAAATATCAAGGTACCTGTGAAGTAAAAGGTGAGGCAAAACAGCATAAGTCCAGTGAAGAGGTTGCTGAGGAAGGTGACCACTCCGCAGGTGATGCCCTCAGGAACAGGGTAAACCGTCTCAATGAACAGCTCCAAGAAGATGGGCACACTACTGTTGATGAAGATACCCACCAGGATGCAGGAAGTGTAGAGAGTGGCTAAAGGAGCAGAGAGAGAGAGAGGGCTGTATCTCAAATACATTTCTAGAATAATTCCTTCTTTACACAGGAAAAGAAAGACAATCTTGCAAATGAATATTTGAGGGGAAAAAACCTTTCTAACACAATTTACCTGTGCTGGCAACCCCTATTTCAGCAGATATTACTCTAATCGACTAAGAAAACAGTGTTACACCTCATTCTTAAGTAATAATTAAAATGTACTAAATTGGTACTACAGAAACCTTTCTTTTTATCTTAGCACAGCTGAAGTTTAATGAAGTGTGGAAATTGCAAATGTTTATTTTTTTCAGTATTAAATACACTTTCATTTCCAAAATTCAATTTTATTTTACAAATTGCCAAAAAGAAACACCCTGTTCTAGAAACTCATCACATCAATCTATTGTCATTTTAAATGATGAGAAGCTGTTCCATGTGTGAGTGTGCAGTTCTGTTTTAAAAGAATAATAAATTGGTTCTAACCAGGGTAGAGAGATAAAGCACTCTTAAATTGAAATTGAAAATTGATAAATGGATGGCCCAATGCAGAACAACAAGAGGACAAGCACATCAGAGTCTCTAGTCTGAGAAACAGATCCCTCAGCTGGCAGCATCATTGAAAAGTACATGGCAAACACTAGTTTCAAATAAACACCTACGCTGCATTAAAACGTCATCTCAAATAGTGTAATTATTTAAACATAAATTGCTTTAATGCACACTAATGTTCAAAAGTTTAGGTTCAGTAACATTTGAAAATGTTTTTTAAAGATGTCTCTTCTCTCCAAAGCTGCATTTATTTGATCAAAAATAGAGTTAAAACAATAAAAATTGTGAAATAGTATTACAATTTAAAATAACTATTTTATTTTAACATATTTTAAAATGTAATGTATTCCTGTGATGGCAAAGCTGAATTTTCAGCAGCCATTACTCCAGTCTTGAGTGTCACATGATCATTTAGAAATCATTCTAATATGCTGATTTGCTGCTCAAGAAACATTTCTTATTATAATCTCATTAAATGATGATGTTGATAACAGTTTAATATTAATATTTAACTTTTTGTGGATACCGTGATACATTTTTTTAGGATTCTCTGATGAATATAAAATAAAAAAAACAGCATTTATTTGGAATAGAAATCTTTTGAAACAAATAAATATCTTTACTGTCGCTTTTGATCAATTAAATGTACAGTATCTGTGCTGAATAAACGTATTAATTCCCTAAATCTTACTGACCCCAAACTTTTAAACAGTAGTGTTTTTGACCAATTTAATGCAACATGTGAATAAATAATCAAATGCTTTCAAAAACATAAAAAGTTCATAATGATTCCAAACTTTTCAATGTAATTTAGTCCTAAACACAAATCCTGAAAAGTCTTGATATAAGTGGTAATCATGTCATAAGTGAAAAAACTGATAATGGCACTTCACTCAAGGTAGTAATGTGGCCAAAATGTCAATCATTGTCAATTATTCCTTACATAACAACGTTACATAATAAATACTATTTACAACTTTCAGATACAAGACAAAAGTATTTCAAACTCCTCTGTGACCCACTGAAATGAAGCAATAAAGCATGAAGACTCTAGGGGAAGTCGAGGCCTAATGGTTAGAGAGTCAGACTCGTAACACAAAGGTTGCGGGTTCGAGTCTCTTATCGGCAGGGATTGTAGGTGGGGGGAGTGAATGTACAGTGCTCTCTTCCACCTTCAATCCCACGACTGCGGTGCCCTTGAGGAAGGCACCGAATCCCCAACTGCTCCCTGGGCGCCGGAGCAAAAAATGGCTGCCCACTGCTCCGGGTGTGTGTTCACGGTGTGTGTGTGTTCACTGCTGTGTGTGTGCACTTTGGATGGGATAAATGCAGAGCACTAATTCCGAGTATGGGTCCCCATACTTGGCCACATGTCACTTCACTTTCACTTTCTTTACTAGGGATGTTCATTTTAACCTTTTAACCGGTTAACCGACCGTAAGAATTTTGACCGATTAATACAATCAGTTGAACGGTTTAAAAAGTCATTTAATTATTTATTTTTTTCAGTAATTTGTCAAAATATTTTAAAAGGTTTGCTGCATGGTTAAAATACGCTACGCGTATAAAAAATTTGTTTTTTAGGGGGGGGGGGGACACAGACACTTATCCTTTCTAATTTAATTCAATTCTAATTTAAAATAATCTTGTCGGTTAACAATCGGTTAACGAGCGTCGGTTGTCGGTTAGGAAAAATAACCGAAATTAACATCCCTACTCTTTACATGTGTGCTCTATGAGCTCTTCTGCTGCGGTTACATTTTCAATCAAATGGGTTTATTCAAGTGTGCATTGTTGCTTCTAAGCAACAACTGCATAAGTCGAATGTCATTCAGAGAAATCTTACAGGTCGCAGTGACAGGAAGAAAAAGCAATATTACCCCATCACTGTGCAAAAAAATACCTACATTTGGCTTGTGGTGGGTGTTAATTTGATATGCTGGATGTAAGGAAGTACTGGTATCCATGTGGTAACTATGGTATAAGTGAAAGGAAATGACAATGGCACTGTTAAATTACATGAACATGGTAGGCGAAGGTCCACTGTCAATTTTTCCCTGCATTACGATTCCAGCTAGAATAGATTCTGATGAATTGACGTTGCACAACATAGCCTTGTGTTCATTAGCGAGAGATGTGAATCATAAGAGGCATGGAAAGCCACGAATGGCAATAGGACACGTGAGTGCGATAAAATCTTAAAAGATGGGAGTGATGGCCCATGAGTCTATGAGCTCTGTCTGCCAGGAATTCTGGGAGACAGCAGATAAAAAAAAGTCAGGTGCCAACCATAAAATGATAATAGATGGTAATATTTGAGCTGGCTGATCTATAGGGCATGTGTTTGTTTCAGGCTGGCTTCTCTAGAGCCCCAACTCCCTTTACCCTTCACTGATCTGGACTTAATGAGTTCCTCTGGCTCCCTCCCACCGATTCAATTGCAGCTTGCCTAAGCCGGAATTCGCCGACCAGACTCCCTGCGGGGCGACAGTTTTGTGGATGTGCACAAGGCAGAACATACTGTCCTTTTCAGCAAAGTATACCTTTAGTGGAGGGCAGGTGAGTAAGCCTGGTCAGGCAGGTGAGAGTGAACCAGGTGGCCGCCAAGGATGCTCCGGCAAACATCAGCACCAAAATCAGCTTCAGCATTCCTCGAATATAGTCAGCAAACCTGAGGGCAAAAACAGAAAACAAAAGAAAGGAGGAGGAGATGAGAGAAACTTAAGTCTCGAGTCATAGCTCAAAGGTGCCAGAACAAGACGGAAAAAAATAAATTACAGAGGAAACAAATTACAGGCAGGCGCAGGTGTAACTTTTTCACAGATGTTATTTTCGGCACCCATGCAAGAGACCAGACGCATATGGAAAATCTTGTCCCTCAAAGACTTGCCTACTGGAGATGACTCAAAACAAATCCTCACATAGACTTGCACTAACTTGATCATTTCTGACAAAGTTCTCCACACCATTTCCTCTCATCACGCATCAGACACATTTTAGCACCTCTAACATGACGTAGATACATAGCAATATCTTTAGGGCATGTTCTTCATCACCTTTCTTCACAACAGACATGAAAGCCATCATAAAAAACACTTTATGGACGAGTGTTTTGTTAGCTGTTATTTGTTGTGTCAAGGTTGCAAGACTTTTAATGATGGCTTATGGGATTTAATGCCTTTTAAAGTAATTATTCACCTCAAAATGAAAGTTCTGTCATCATTTACTCACCCTCATGTTTGTGAGGTTCTATATTTGGTGAACATTAATGGAGAAGTTTATCAGGTTGCTTACGCAGCTTGTGAAAGTGAATGGTGACCAGAGGAAGTCATGCTTCAAAAACGACAAAAAGCAACATTAAAATACCATAAAAATGACCCATAAGTCTTAAAAGTTACATTTCAAGTGTTCTAAAACTATTAAAGGTGGAGTAAGCGATTTTTCAAAAATGCTTTAGAAAACTTATTCGGGCCGACTAGCAAAACAAACTTGTAGCAATCAGCAGTATGGGGCGTGTTTTTTGGTTATTTTGAGAGTTTGACAGCATGGATCTCCATTCGCATTCATTATACAGAAAAGAGCGGTCAGGACATTCTTCAAAATTTCCTCATTTGTGTTCCATGAAAAAAGTCATATGAATTGGAATACATGTCATATGTTGGAACAATATGTAACAACAGAATTTTAATTTTTGGGTGAACTACTCCTTTAAATTTTAAGCATTAACTTTAATCGGTTGTCGATCTCACTTTCTTGAACCCACAATGCCACCACCTTCCTCAATCAAAAAGCAATGTCACCCCTACCACCCGACTGCTGTCTGACAATTAAAGTCTGGTGGTTTGTCAGGCATCCCAGTGTTTGCCAAACTGCTCAGCATACCTCACACCACAAACCGTTAATTGACCTGCGGAGACAGCCTCTTATGATTCACCCGTCTACTATAACTCCACCATAACGGTGAACGAGGACGAGTCTTTGATGAGGGCTTGTAGCTATTATATCTGCCTCCAGAATCGCATCAATTAGAATGTGCAGCTATTGCCCCTGCAGCTCAATTTTAATGCAGCCATTTTTTCTAAAGCATGGACTTGACCCAAAGGGCTGAGCTCTGCGGCAGAGAGCTGGTGGCGTATAATAACTCATGTTAACGCATTTGCTGCACGATTCATGGCACAGGGAGGGTGCTGGACCCCGTAACTCACAGGGGCCCATTAACGAGAGATCACTCGCCAAACAACCACTAATAGGACCAGGCTGCCGTGAAGACTTAGTAGGGCATCTGTTGCTTCTCTCTGCAACCTGTCCCAAATGAACAGCCAAAGTGAGAAAAAAAGCAAAAAAACGTAAAAGTGCGGTCAACCGGCGGGATGTGCATTCTTTAATCAGCTTTATGAATCCCCATTTGGCTTAACACACACAACTAAGGCAGATCACAGGTCTTCATCGATGTTTTAACCATCTTTGTCCCTCCCCATTTTAACAGCAATGCTGGTACCAACCCAAAATCCAATGCAGCAATGTGACAATTGATTAAATGCAGAGTTTGCCTAATTAAAAGGTTTTCAAAATGCAGAACCTGTCTGGATGTGCTGATTGGGGCCCTTCTGCAAACATTTCATCAGGGACAGACAAATCTCTTGCTTTTTGCAGACAACAGTTTGCCCTTTCTCTCTTCTCTATTCCAGTGTCTTAATCAGTCTGTGAGACGTGACCATTTCATTAGCATTTTCACCCACTGTTCATAACAAAAGCTGATTTTAATAAATTAGCAGGAAGAGAATAAATTAGCTTTGGGATCTGAGAGACTCCAAAACAGCCAGAAAAAAAAGTGGCTTAACAGAGACAAAATAAATGTCTTTCCAGCAGGAGCGTAGAAACGACCTGAAAAGTATGGCAAGTTTGACACTGGTTTATATGCCTAGCTGCCACGGATACACTCATATGAGACCATTTAAAAACTAAAAAAAAAAAAACCTTAGAAAGTTTCTAGTACCATCAGCATTCTAGCATTTTTGTCATGAAACTTTAATAATTAGGGCTAAAACATTGTTGTGACAAGTATAAATAAATAAATAAATAAATAAATAAATATATAAATCATTTTTGTCAAAAAAATAAAATAAAAAATTATTCTGTAGTTCACATTCAGAAGGCTCTTCTCATTTTTTTATCTGCATCTCATCTGTAATGATTTTCACGGAATTCATCTGTGGTGAAGGAGATTGGAGAGTTATGGAGAGTTAATTCTTCTCATGTATGCACAGAATGTATGTGCTAGTTGGTTGTTGGCTGTAGACTTTTCAGTTTGTTCAAGCGCAACTTTCTTGCCCAGATTCAGGTAACGTGAGGCGACACCACAGTCGGCTCTCGTTGCCGTTAGGTCTTTGATGTCGTTTGGTGTCTGGGCCCGTAAGGTCTGTTCATGCAGGAATTCTGATTGTGTGGTAAAACGGCTGGATAGAGTGCAAAACAGAACACAGTGACCTTGAGATGCTTTTTTTGTTTGTTTAAAACTTATTAACACCCATTGAACCCACTGAGACACAACACAATGGCCAAAGATACCAGCATGGACGTAGGTCAACAATTAAAATATACTTGTTATTTTATATACTTGCTAGTTCAACAATACTTTTGTTGTTTCCTTTTGTTGAAGGTAATCAATTTGTTACAAAAGTGATGCTTTGATGGCTGTAACTGCGGTGCTTTAAAGAGAGAGATTTAGCATGCTGACAGTCCCAACAGATACAACATGCTGTCAGCATGATAAATTGCTCCCAAAGAAGTTAAAAAAACCTCTAAATTCAGTCCCTTAAAAGCACCACTGCTAGAAAACCCTCACTATTCAACCTCACTAAGTTAGTAAAACTCAGCCCTGGTTTCTTTGAGAAGGAAGGAATGCTGATGTGTGACTAGTGTTTAAGCGTCTGCTGGTTTTCATGTTACTGTACATACATACATACATACATACATACATACATGTAAAGTAAATGCTAACAAATGCTAATGTATAACAACCCCACCACCATCATTTCTCATGCATGGGACTAGGCCTGTCGCAATAATCAATATATCGACTTATCGCGCAATATATGTACATGACCTCAATCATTTTTGGTGACGCAATATATCGCTCAGTATATTTACTTAAAAATGTATGTCACCATGTTTTGTACATTCCACTTGCGCCAGTATCTTTTGCAGCTTCTCATACATAACGTGGTGTAGACATGAGGTGCTTGTTCAAATAAAAAAAAATGCTTCTACAAAAAAAAAGTTTCATCTGCAGATATGGTCTTGTTTAGGGATCTGTGCCTTTGTGCATACGGACATCTGACAAGTAGTGATTGTGTTTTTCAGCAATAGTGTGCACCCTTAATTTACAGAGAAAAGAAGGTCAGGGACAAATCTGTAGATGGAAACATCTCCATACAAGTTCTTTGTGCATTTTTCTTTTTTTCTACTAGTTACTTTGCACTTTTTGTTAGAAAATTAGTATTTACTATTTATTCAGATTTTTTAAGGTATCTAATATTTTTATACTTAATTTCCATGATCTAAATATTCTTAAAAATTAAAAGTTTGTTGTCATTTGGAAGTGTGTAGGCCCTCTTGCATTATTATGCTGTTACATTATGATTATATATTCAGTGGCATAAAATGGTCTTTAAAATGACAATAATATCGCTTATCGCAATTATTTCTGGGGCAATATATCGCACAACAAAAAGTTGTTATCGTGACAGGCCTACATGGGACTATTACTCACCTCGCCATGGCCACACCAAACACACAGCCTCCAACTATGGACCATCCACTTGCGCCAGTGTCTTTTGCAGCTTCTCATACATAACGTGGTGTAGACATGAGGTGCTTGTTCAAATAAAAAAAAAATGCTTCTACAAAAAAAAAGTTTCATCTGCAGATATGGTCTTGTTTAGGGATCTGTGCCTTTGTGCATACGGACATCTGACAAGTAGTGATTGTGTTTTTCAGCAATAGTGTGCACCCTTAATTTACAGAGAAAAGAAGGTCAGGGACAAATCTGTAGATGGAAACATCTCCATACAAGTTCTTTGTGCATTTTTCTTTTTTTCTACTAGTTACTTTGAACTTTTTGTTAGAAAATTAGTATTTACTATTTATTCAGATTTTTTAAGGTATCTAATATTTTTATACTTAATTTCCATGATCTAAATATTCTTAAAAATTAAAAGTTTGTTGTCATTTGGAAGTGTGTAGGCCCTCTTGCATTATTATGCTGTTACATTATGATTATATATTCAGTGGCATAAAATGGTCTTTAAAATGACAATAATATCGCTTATCGCAATTATTTCTGGGGCAATATATCGCACAACAAAAAGTTGTTATCGTGACAGGCCTACATGGGACTATTACTCACCTCGCCATGGCCACACCAAACACACAGCCTCCAACTATGGACCAGAACCCGATCCAGCCAGCGTCCACCTGTGAGAGAAAGGTGCAAACAGCTGGGGTTATTTGCTGCTTGTAATGCTGGACATCACTTGTGGAGCAGCTAGATGGATAGTGAGTATATAAGAATAATATACCAGACATCATGCTGTCCACGAACATGTCTTTGATGAACAGTATGGTTCAACAGCAGACTTCATAAAACAGATGGTCTATATCAGGCATGGCTGAGGTCAACCACAGTACTGATAAGACCAGGAAGAACAAAACAAGTTACTCTATGAGGACTAAATAAAATGTTATTTAGACTTAGAATCAGTTTCTAACAATCAGCAACACACACAACTGTTCAAAAGTTTTGGGGTTGGTAGTTTTTTTTTAATGTTTATGAAAGAAGTCTCTTGTGCTCACAAAGGCTGCATTTATCTGATGAAAAACACAATAAAAATAATATAGTAAAACAGTATTCCATTTAAATCAATTCTATTTAATATATATTTTTATTTAATTTATTCCTGTGTGATGGCAAAGCTGAATTCTCAGCCTTCAGCATGATCCTTCAGAAATCATTCTGATTTAGTGCTTAAAGGGGTCATATGATGCTGCTAAAAAGAACATTATTTGGTGTAATGAAATGTGTTTATGCGGTTTAAGGTAAAATAAAGTGAGGAACGGCCGGAGAGCTAGAGTGAGCAGAGGCGGTGGATTCGAAGAAGGAGCGTCCGGTGGGTTTGCGGCAACCACATGTGACGACCCTAGGCTGGACTCCGCTTCGTCCACGGTGAAAGCCGATCCGGGGATCCACAGCGCAAAGTTGTCGTATTTCCTCAGCGACCAGCACGGATCAGCTCCAGGCATGACAAAGCAGATATCGTCCTCATTTGGAAGGCCAAACAAAGTAGTTTCGCTTTCACAACGAATCACACATTGCCTTCACAACATGGCGGCGGCAACAACAATACTACAGCGAGAATAAAAGTTACGCCTTCTTTTCTTTGCGCGAACATTTGGGCGGTGTTATGCAAATCTTCCCACATAGTGACGTAGGTATGTGGGGGCGTGTTGGAATGAGCCGTTTTAGGTAGGCGCGGCTGACTCTTAACTTTTATAAAGAATATATTTTTGGATTTGAGACTTTAGTCTTTGCAACTTTACAGATCTTCTTTATGCACCAAGAGCTTGTAACACTCCAAAGAGAAAGAAATTTTTTTTATCGCATCATATGACCCCTTTAAGAAACATTTCTTATTATTATCAATATTAAAAACAGCAGTGCTGCTTTATATTTTTACGGAAACTGATCCTTTTTTTTTTGATAGATAGAATTATTTTCTTCTTCAACGGATCAGCATTTATTCTAAATATAAATCTTTTGTAACATTATAAACTATTTTATACTGCCACTTTTGACCAATTTAATGAATACTTGCTGAATAATTTCTTTTTAAAATAAAAGTATTACAGATAGATAGATAGATAGATAGATCTGCCCTATAACATACTGCATAAGCAGAAAACTTTACAGCATCAGTCTGATTTGATATCTAGCGATGCTAAATGGGCATCAGCCTCGATCCCCTGGGGATGGGGATGGAGAGAGAAGAATGCTGGCTAAGCATCTCTCACCCACTGCACAGGACTGTCACTGCACAGGAAAGCACCTTCAGCAAAACACTGATCCCACAACAGAACATTTCCTTAAGGTCCTTCCAACCTGCGGCTATCAGGATGTACACCTGTACCCTGAGCTGAATCTCATTATGTCTTTGGGGGGATGTAATGTCACTATTCAGAGAACACTGGGCTCATGAATATTGCTTTGCTCATTGTTAGCTAATCTTCCTAGGCCAGAGTGTCACAGTGCCTAATTAATATTCATGAATCATGCTAATTAATATACAAATTCCATGATGTTTTGGGATATAGTAGAGCTCACCACTGAGATGAGATGAAATATTACTTTAACATCAAGACAATCAAAAATCATTTAAAATTCATTCCATCCCTTTAAAAATCTCAATAACGCACTGATTGAGTATTTCTTTACATAAATGGAAGTTCAGTCTCGTAAAGTGTGATTTGTGTGACACGCGACATTTATTTGACAGCTTCATCCTACTAGAATATACAAACTCAAATGTAATGTTTATTTTACTATGTGTGGAGATTCAGCACTGCACATTTTCAGATTTCACCACCTACTTAATACTGTCAATGTATTATACACTTTGGACAAGCACATTTTTAATAAGCGGCAGTAAGGTGCCGCTGCTCTGAGAATTTATATGGTCTGAGGATACATGTGCTGATTAAATGTTCTACCGCAGGGGTAAAAGACATCTTTATCTATTTGAAATAAGCATCAAGTGCTAAAACTACAGTAAATTATAGCATATAATCAGAATGTAATATATCATGTGCTTTTAATGCGAGCCAACAAAGGTAGACTACATAATTTAATATCAGCCGATGGTGATGTGCGTCACAAGTTTGGGGGAGTGGGGGGTGGCAGAGAGGTTTGGCCCTCTGGATCAGGCACCCCTGGATGTATTAATTGCCATTTCCTTTCGGTGATTTATGTCTACTGCTGTAATGCTGTTATTTCCCCCAGAAAATGAAAGAGATATCATTACCTATGCTATTTCTTTTGGCAAAAAGTGTAACTCATGTGTGTCCAAACCATTATTTCAAATTCAAATTTTTCTGTCATGCAGCATAGTGCACTGGAATTGTTAGAATTTGGGACAAGGAGAAGGATGATACGGTGGAAGTCTATGCAATTTAGGAAATGCTTTGGTCATCACTTGAGTTCCAGTAGGCTAATAATAACACTGAATCAATAAAAAAACAACTCAATTATAAACAGATTCAACAGAAAACTTAGGGGTGACAAGGCCCAACTAGGCAAAGTGCTAAATCCGGCCCAAACAAACAAAAACATCATACATTATATGGTGTCAGTATAAAATAATATCAAACAAATCACATTCGTCTGGGAATGCTAACACTTTTTCCAGGTATTCTAGACCTCCTTGCTTGATGCTCTTAGCTCACTAACATGTTTACACTGGAAACCTCACGGGCAAAAAACATGGCATCACTCACTGAAATGGGTTTTAAAGAAAACCACACTGCTACAACTATTGTTTTAATCCGGCGAAAGAGTTCCACACACACACCACAAAACCAAGCCCTAGTTTTGTGCAGTTTGAGGCAACTCTGATAAAACAGTCATTTGTAATGTTTCTCAAAGCCAGCAAAGCACCTTCAGTTTGATAACGACTTTCCAAGGGCAAAAGATGTCTGTCTAATCAGTGCGCAGCCATTGTACGCAGGCTTAATGGCCATTCCCATGAAGCAATTAGACAAGGCTGATTAATGTAGCGGAGGACCATACACTTAAATGATTCTAATTATTGTTGTACAACTCTACATGCTCACTGCCTCAGCGTTCTACCGTTCCATTTGCAAATTACTGTGTGCGAATGTGGAAACGTATTTGTTGTTGACTTCTGATACTGATCAAAACGCAGTAACTTAAATATCAGCTTCAGAATATAAACTTCCTAATGCTTCTAACCTCATTTGCAAAATACATTTCATACGACAACTGGATGCTTTTCATTGCTTTCCATCAAAATCAACAGAGACATCATTCAGAGTAAAGTAAATTGCTAACACTTTACAAAAAGTCCCACTGGTCAATGGATTAGGTATCAAGAAAAAACAATGAACATTAGTTAGAATGAATGTTAGTTCACAATAAGGTCGCATATACTGTAAATAGTTTACATATAGGGTTACAAGCAAAGCTAATGTTTCTGAGTTCTGCAGTAATCATAAATTCGTTTTTTCAATGTCAGGTTTCAAAAGTGGTCCAGGCTGAATTAAATGTTTAAGTTTAATACTTAGAGTCTGAGGTTTGGAACAAATCCCTAACCAGAATGTTTGAGGAATATCAATAAGCTGCTGTTTTGCGAGCACTTTTTACAATGGGCTCCTAGAAATCTATACATAATTTCAGTTTGTCTGATAACACTTATTTCTCTTCAACCAAATTTAAATGACTAGGAAAAAAGACCTTCTCAACAATAGTGAAATATTAAAATAGGAGAAGGAAATGCTTGCGGCGTACACTTTCAATTGTTAAAAAAAAAGAACTGAGACTTGAATGAGAAGACGGAAAAATTCAAATTAGCCTCACAATGGCGTTGGGAGCAGATACATATTGTGGAAAAAGGAACAAGGCCTTTTATTTTTGACTTGCATGGTTTTCTTTCCAATAACAGTTCAAAGACCACCTAGTTTACCTGGAAAATAAACTGCAAGACATGAAAACATCATCTTTGTCTCCGCAAGCCAGTAATTCAGCTGGGCCCAGAATGTTGCATGATTGCTTTGGCCCATAACTCTCACATTTCAGATGCAAATGTGAGGAGGCTGGGGAGAATCAGAAACTCTGAGGTGGAGAGCTCATCTCATTAAACTGTGGATGGCCCATCAAAGATGGAGTACTTTTGTGAGTATGCAAATAAAAGCTTCTTGAGCATGTATGTTTGATTAGATTCTGATGAGCTCTGTCTGGAGAGGGAATGGATGGAGAGGGCTATCTTCATATGGATAGCTCTGGATTTTCAAAACTATAATTAGATGTTTTTAACAGCTTGTTTTGAAGTTCAAAGTCCACCCGTTCAGGCCTGCCAGTTTTTTAATGAGAAAGTATAGAAAGGCAAACCGTTTTTCGGTCAGAGTTTCCAGTCAATACTTCAATGTGTGTTTGTACTCCCAGGGTTAATTATGAGTCAATAACCATTTAATCCAGGGAAATTACATTTCATTTGAATCATAATTAAACTCATAGAAGGTGCAAATGATTTGTACATCTGATAAATGCAGCTTACTTAAGACACAGCATACTGAAAAACACGGGACCGGGTGAAAGTAATCAGGTCTTTCAATATTTGGATTAATTCATAACATCCAATTGTTTTATTAAACATTTAACCATCAAAGCATAAATTAGACATCATTCTTTTCCTGAAAACCTTTTTAATTACTTATAATGAATCATCTAAATGGGCCCAGCATGGAACATGGAATATGTCTTACCTGGCTGACTTTAACAGGTGTTAAAATCATGTCCAACACACCAGCCCAGCCGGCAACAACCCCTGTGGGCACGGAGTAGGCGAGTGCTATCATCAGGAAACGCATGTTGCTGAAAAAGCAAAAGCAAAAGCAAAGATGAGGACTGATGAAAACTTTTAGCAATAGAACACTATGAAAGCACTTTAAGGCACTAGGCTGCTTTTTGACTGTGTATGATGCCCATTTTTGAAAGAGTAACAGATCTTTCAGAGGTGTCATGAAGCTGAACATCAAAGCTTGTGCATCTCGCAAAGAGTCAAAGATTGTAGATTTTCTTTCCTATACCTTGCAGCCTGTCACCATACATTTATCCTACCTTGCAGCCCAGTGACAGACAGATAAAAGTCTCCTGAATACAGAAAATACACAAAACTGATAGCAGAAGCAGATATCAGGGAAGCATAATGCTAGGATAAAGACATGCCCAGAAGTGGCGCTTTGTCTTACATGGATTTAGCTTCCTCAACCAAATATGATTCTTAATAGGACACTGCACTTTATCAAGCAAGGGGGTCAATGTAATATTACAACTTTATTAATATTACAACAAAATGACGCAAATGCACCACTGAACTTGAAATTTACATGCTAATCCACTTGCCATTTTAGTCAGAGTAAAACTGACTAAATTAATGAGCATGACATGATAAAATATTGACTAAGTAAAAAAATATGATGAAAAAAATGATTAGGGGTTATTTTTAATTATTGATGTCCTGCAGCAAATGCCTTTGCGAATATAAGAATATGCAATGCTAACCGACAGCTTGTTTCTGCATCTGCATGTTTTTTTACATAAATCATATATCTGTAGGGCACAGCTGAAATACTTTTACTCTTAAATAACATTATCTATGAGACTCTCTAACAAGCATTATTTGCCAACAAATCCTTCTTGAAGTTAAGCAACAACAAAGTTCGGTCTTTATGTGTGGCTTCTGGCAGGCCTCAAATCAATCCCAACCCAATTACAATCACCCATCCTGCTCACCCATTTCTCTACCTATTTTCCCTCAAGTGTCCCAAACAGTGTCTCCCGAACTTACCCAAGAGGAAACGTCCCCCCCATAAAACAACAAAGCATCTGAAACCAATCACAAGGGTTCTCCAAAGACACTTTGTTTAACTTTTGAAGCAATATGCTGTATGGAATTTACTTGTTGCAGTTTGGTACTTGGTATTTGAGTCTTTAAACTGTTCTCACACTTGATTTGATCGAAAAAAAATAAAAAAAGTTTGATTGCACCACCCTCCTCCTGCCCCAGATTTTGGGGGAGCCATCAAGCCAGAAGGATCATCAGCTAAGTGCCATTTGTCCTTTGTCGGCTGTGTTGGAAGCTAATGCCTCAAGATTCTGCCATTTTTAACTCCAAGTCCATCAATACTAATACTATTCCATCATCACTGCTACTGTAGTAATCAAATGCTGCACATTGGTTCTGGTAAAGTGTTACGAATGGATTCGTGTGTTGCTAGGGAAACGGCATATCACTTGTTTATTGTAATTTTCTTTGGCAAATTGCCCCTCCCGAAGTTTGATGTTCCTTTTTTGTTTCTTTTGTTAATAAACTTACTTTTATTTGCACTTTAAGTGTTTTGGTGGTCGACAAATTTAAGAATGAGAGCGGGGACCCCAGGGATCTTTCCTAGATGGATCCCTGTTAATTGTTATGGACCCGTTTATTTCTCTTTGAGTAGGGATTTAATGCGTTGTTCGTAACAAAAGGCATGATGATGCAACTCCACAAACAGCTTTTCCAGGTTTGTGCAAAATTGAGATTTTAGGAATTGTTTTTTTAAATTAATGATTTTAATTGAATTTGTTGCACCCCACAGGAGGCTGAACTGGAACTTAAATTGGAACTACAGGAAGTATAAAATACATTTTGTTCAGCTCAATTCCACTTCCTTTTAAAATTGCATATGTACATTTCAATTCTCTATTTTGTTTGCAATCTCATTTCAAATTCAGGAATAACTTCAATGTTTTAAAGGGTCATATGATGTTGCTAAAAATAACATTATTTGGTGTAATGAAATGTGTTTATGCGATTTAAGGTTAAAAAAACACTATTTTCCACATACTGTACATTATTGTTTCTCCTCTATGCCCCGCCTTTCTGAAACCCGTCGATTTTTACAAAGCTCATCGGTCTGAAAAGCGAGGTGTGCTCTGATTGGCCAGCTATCCAGTGCGTTGTGATTGGCTGAATACCTCAAGCGTGTGACGGAAATATTATGCCCCTTGCCATATTGTGATGCCTTGTCCTGGCCAGAGCGAAGAGACAAAAACATTAAAAAACCCATTATAAACAAGGCATTTGTTGCATCCAGTGGGGACATAATTACGGATTATAATAACTTATACTGTCTTTTTATGCGTTGCATTGCATCGCACCGCGTAAACATAAAACTACGTCTGCATTTGTGATCAGAGAAAGGACAAACTACAAACGCTACTCTACAATGCTCAAAACTCGCGTTTGAATCGTCAGTGGCAAATTCTTTAAATATAAAAAACGTACTTACAGTCTGTGAGTCAGAACAGCCGGCATTGTAGTCTACTCTACCAGGATCAGGAAACAGTCCTCTATAAAATGCACTGGACACATCAGAATATTTGAGTTGAACTGTTCTGGAACTTAACCACTGATTTCTAGTCGTGTCCTCTTTTGGAAGGCCAAACAAAGCAGTTTCGCTTTCACAACAAAACACAGCGTCACACACGGCGGGCTAGAGTGAGCGGAGGCCGGAGGCCTAGAGTGAGCAGAGGCCGGCTTGAGTGAGCGGCGGCTTGAGTGAGCGGCGGCGTGCAGGCTTGCAGCAACCACATGTGACAACCCCGGGGTGGACTCCGCTTCATCCACGGTGAAAGCCGATCCGGCGATTCACAGGGCGAAGTTGATGTATTTCCTCAGCGACCAGCACGGATCAGCTCTAGGCATGACGAAGCGGATATCGTCCTCTTTTGGAAGGCCAAACAAAGTAGTTTCGCTTTCACAACGAAAACGCACAGCGCCTTCACGACATGGGGGCGGCGGCAACAACAATACTACAGCGAGAATAAAAGTTACGCCTTCTTTCTTTGTGTGAACATTTGGCCGTTATGCAAATCTTCCCACATCCTGACGTAGACATGTGGGGGTCGTGTTAGAATGAGCCGTTTTAGGTAGGCGTGGTTGACTCTGAACTTTTATAAAGAATATCTCTTTGGATTTTTGAGACTTTAGTCTTTGCAACTTTACAGATCTTCTTTATGCACTAGGAGCTTGTAACACTCCAAAGAGAAAGGAAAAATTTAAATTGCATCATATGACACCTTTAATAAAGTTTTTGATGCTTTAGATTTTAAAACTTCACACAAAATCAGTTCTTGCACTGTCAATTGCAGTTCTACTGAGATACTGCGAGCTGCTTTAAAAATGCTGCTTTTAAAAATCAGCTTTAAAAAAAGTGACAAAGAAAGGAGGTAAAGATGCAAATTGTAAGTTCACAAATTAATGGGATGTCAAATTAATGCACCCATAGTTTCTTGTAGAAAATTTGATATCATGCTACTCATAATTACCTCCAGGTATGAATCACTGGGTGTGAAGGAACTTCTACCATCTACATCCAGTCTATTAACAGGAAAGTGTGAAAGCCAAGCATGCTTTCAGTAGGTTTTACAGCGGCCGTGAAGAGGGCAAAAGCAAAAGAAGGTGTTGATGGTGGAGCCTTTCTCCAAATTGTACCCATTTCATTAACCTCACAGCTGGAGGAGATCAATATCTATGCACTTTTTTCCCCACCAAGAGCTTATTTAGATTATGGGATATTAGAAAGCCTTTTTTCCCTTCTTTTGACAAATTTGGAGGAGCCATCAAACCAGAACAATAATCAGCTAAGTGCCATTTGTCCTTGGCAGGCCCTGTTGGGATCTAATACCCCAAGATGAGGATTTTGCAATCCATGGCCATTTTTAACACAGAGGCCATCAATACTAATACTATTCAATCTTCACTGTTAGCACAGTAATCAAACACTGGATGACGGTTCCCGTAAAGGAACAATGACATAATGATGCTCTCTGCGACAAACAAATCAGGCTCAAAAACTTAGAAGTTTCACCAAGTCAGGTGAGCCAAGGACTTGGGAGTTCAGAGACTGGTGGTGAAATGCAATCATGATCACACGACCCCAGTCGGTATCCAATGTACTGTCTGCCTGTCCCTGGAGGCTAGCTGTTTTACAAAGCTCTACCAATCCACTGCTCCATTGAGATACAAATGTGAGACGGCTACTGGAACTCTGCCTATCGGTGGGACTCCAGACAGCATTACAGTCCCAATGGGGTGACTTCGTCCATTCATTTGTGTTCTTCTTTTTGCTTTCAGCTCTGCTGTGAGTGGAAAAGTTCTGGCATTCCTCAGAGGGGGTTGAACTGCAGACTCTCTACAATAGTGGAAGCCCAACAGTCTTTTCCAGTCCACAGATTTCAGCCAATTCCTCTAGTGTTGATGTGAGAATGCATTCAAAGCAGAGCTGGCTTCCTTTGATCTGTGAATATCGCAACTACCCCAAGCGTTGCAGGTGCGACTACATCAAGAGAATTCTGACTAGCTGTAAAAATGTGCCACTGTGGTCACACTGGCCTTTGTGGACTTCACTTGGTTATTAAATGTACAGATCCAAGATGTTCTATTTATCAAGGATGGTCAGCATGTGCCATCATAAGGCTTGGTAATTAATCTGCAGAGAGAAGATCTCTTCTTTGATGTGTATTAAATGGCAACCGCAGCATATGGTGAGTGGCAAAATGACAAGACCCTGTTCATTAAGATTCTCTTTTGTAAAAGCAATGATAAAATTTCAGAGACTGTACTGAGATCAGGGAAACAGAATGTGGAAGTTACAAAAGGCCTAAAATAACAGATGTCCATTGTTGTGTCCATGTGCAGATGTACCCAATACAAAATCTCTCGTGAATGCCAATGAAGAACACTGATCTTCTCATTATAAATAAATTTTTTAACTAGAATATGTGTTGTGCTCAAGTCTTTTCAAGGTTTGATTTCAATCATTGCACTTGAATTTAAAGGGACAGGAGATCTTTGTTATCATCTATTCATTCCTATGCCGTTCCGAATCAGTTTGATTAATCAGATGGATAATGTGTCTTCAGTAGAACACAAAAGCAGATATTTAGCAGAATTGCTCTTTTCTATTCAACAGTTAGTGATTCAAGCACCAAAAAGGAAATGTGCCACTAAAAAACAAAATCAAAAACATTTAAAGGGGTCATACGATGTTGCTAAAAATAACATTATTTTGTGTATTTGGTGTAATGAAATGTGTTTATGCAGTTTAAGGTTAAAAAAACACATTATTTTCCACATATTGTACATTATCGTTTACCCTCTATGCCCCTCCTTTTTGAAACGCGTTGATTTTTACAAAGCTCATCGTTCTGAAAAGCAAGGTGTGCTCTGATTGGCCAGCTATCCAGTGTGTTGTGATTGGCCGAATACCTCAAGTGTGTGACGGAAATGTTACGCCCCTTGCCATATTGTGATGCCTTGTCCTGGCCGGAGCGACGAGACAAAAACATTAAAACTCATTATAAACGAGGCATTTGTTGCATCCAGTGGGGACATAATTACAGATTATAATGACTTATACTGTCTTTTTACGCGTTGCATTGCATCACGCTGCGTAAACATAAAACCATGTCTACATTTGTGATCAGAGAAATGACAAACAACAAGTGCTACTCTACACTGCCCAAAACTCGTGTTTGAATTGTCAGTGGCAAATTCTTTACATATAAAAAACGTACTTACAGTCTGTGAGTCAGAACAGCCGGCATTGCAGTCTCCCAAGATCAGGAAACAGTCCTCCATAAAATGCGCTGGACATATCAGAATATTTGGGTTGAACTGTTCTGTAACAGTGTTGTAAATACAACTTAACCACTGATTTCTAGTCGTGTCCTCTTTTGAAAGGCCAAACAAATTAGTTTCGCTTTCACAACGAAACACAGCGTCACACACGGCGGGCTTGAGTGAGTGGCAGCCGGAGGCCTAGAGTGAGCGGAGGCCGGTGGGCTTGAGTGAGCGGAGGCCGGTGGGCTTGAGTGAGCGGCGGCCGGTGGGCTTGAGAATGGCGCGGTGGGCGGGCTTGCGGCAACCACATGTGACGACCCCAGGTTGGACTCCGCTTCGTCCACGGGGAAAGCCGATCCGGCGATCTACAGGGCGAAGTTGATGTATTTCCTCAGCGACCAGCACGGATCAGCTCCAGGCATGACAAAGTGGATATCGTCCTCTTTTGGAAGGCCAAACAAAGTAGTTTCGCTTTCACAACGAAACACACAGCGCCTTCACGACATAGCGCGGCGGCAACAACAATACTACAGCGAGAATAAAAGTTACGCCTTCTTTCTTTGCGTGAACATTTGGGCGGCGTTATGCAAATCTTCCTACATCGTGACGTTGACGTAGCAATTTTAGGTAGGTGTGGCTGACTCTGAACTTTTATAAAGAATATCTCTTTGGATTTGAGACTTTAGTCTTTGCAACTTTACAGATCTTCTTTATGCACCAAGAGCTTGTAACACTCCAAAGAGAAAGGAAAAATTGGAATCGCATCATATGACCCCTTTAATAATTTTACTACCCCAAACTTTTAAAAAGTAGCATATTTGAACTTTTACTATAGCCTTTTTTTAGTATTTAACTTTTTTTGAGTATTGTTTCACTTCAGAAGACATTGAATAATCAACTGGGGTCGTATGGATTACTGTTGTTTGTGTTTTGTGCTTTGTGTCAGCTTTGAGGGACCATTAACTTATATTATATGAGACTGATTATTTTCCTAAAAATCTCTATTTGTGTACTACAGATAAAACGAAAACCATATACATCTGGGATTACATGAGGGTCAGTAAATGATGAGAGAATTTTCATTTTTGGGCCAAGCTAAGCCATATGGACAACTTGTATGGTTCTTTCTGGCCTTTTTGGGGCTTGACAGCTGTGATCATCCACTGTTACTGTATGGAAAATAACTGTTAGATATCTATGTTTTTTTCTTAGAACTTTTATGTTCAATTGAACTATTCCTACTTTGCTAACCTCCATTCCTTCTTTCTCTGTTCAAAACATTTAGAGCAGTCTGGTAAGGGAGGACTGTTATTTTACCTCAGCAGCCTGCAGATGCTGTTCCTGTAGCTGAGACGTTGGCTAGCCGCTGCCACGCTGGGAGGGATGGGTGGCCTGGAGGGGAAGTACAACAGCACAGCCACAAAAAGTGCTGCAATCATCCCAACCTCTGCAAGTTCACAAAAACACACAACATTTATCATGCAGCCTTGGTGTCAACATCAAATCTCACAAAGATTTTACGGGTTCAGACTTAATCTATCCCTGTTAATTAGAAAAAGAGCTTAACACGTCTGGCATTTCACTGCAATTTTCAGATACTAAATTCAAATTAATGAGAGAGAGAGAGAGAGCGAGAGAGAGTGGTATCCAAACCAACATCATTAACGGACATTAGATGGCTCACATTAATCTAGAGTTAACCATGAGTCTAGCAGATTTATTACAATCCTGTAGAGGGAGGAAATGCACAATGAAACAACCGATCAGCTCATTAACCCTAGTCCACAAAAAGCTCCTGCTTTCAAATGTGCTCATCCAGTGCTGGAATTTGTGACAGTGCTACCAAGTTGATAATTAAGCATTGCTGCAGCCAAGCACCAAAAAAACCTGCTGGCACACAGTATCTCAAAACCGGATGCACTGGCACTGCCACTGCCACTGCCAGCACAGTCTTCGGGTTGAGTTCCTAAATTTAGTGTCTGGGCATTGTCCACATGATAAAATATGTGCAGTTTCCTTGGACAGATCCCATTTTGTTTTCAGCTAGTTAATTTTTACAATATCATTTCTATAAATCTGCCATTTCTCTCATAAAATACAGACTTATCAAGCTGGAATGGGTACAGGTGGGTGATATGACAAATCTTATATCATAAATGAATAATTTTATATCCCGATAATGGTATACATCAAGATATACACTAATGCTCAAAGGTTTTGAACGATTTAATGACATATTCATACTTTTATTTAGCAAGGATACATTAATTTGATCAATATTGACAGTAAAGACTTTTATAATGTTACAAAGGATTTCTGTTTCAAATAAATGCTGTTCTTTTTCACAAAAAAACTGAGCTGCACAACTGAACTGTTCAGCAAAATAAACAATATTGATTATAAAAAGAAATATTTTCTTATATAATTTCTTGAGCACAAAATCAGCATATTAGATCAATTTCAAGGCTCATGTATACACTGAAGACTTGAGTAATGGCTGCTGAAATTTTAGCTTTGATACCACAGGAATAAATTACATTTTAAAATATATTAAAATACTGGTAAGTGTTATTTTAATAAATGGTGAAATATTGTAATGTTTTTACTGTGTTTTGATTAAATAAATGCAGCCTTAGTGAGCATACAGCAAGAGATTTCTTTCAAAAACATTAAAATAACAAACCTTGGAATGGTTGTGTAGTTGATGGAAATTCAACTAAATTGTTATATGAATTGATTTTTATATTAATTAATAATTTATATTAATTAATCATGCTGTAATGCTACATTGAATGAAATACTTTACAAATGAAAGGGACTTGATCTCATTAGATTTTTTTCTCTCCTTAATTAGAACTTTATGAGCACAAAATATGAACAGTGGCATCAGTGGGAACTCCTTCAGTGCTGTTTAAAAGCTGTAAATAGTATAGTAAAATATCTACTAGGCCTAGTTGCCAGATTTTACTGTCACACAGTGTATACTGTTATACCGCCCATCCCTAAAGACTTGGCCCTTCTCTAATGGTTTTACTAGACTGGACAAATCTTTGCATCTCTTCCAAGATTTCAATCTTCAAGATGCGTGTCAAAATCCGGTGCATGTGGCTACATCTTGATGCCCAGTGTTGCAGTAAGTGTCCCAATGACCTCTAAACTACTAGCAAATCAATGTATTTTCTGTGTGCGAAAGTAACGGCAACATCTTTCAACTTAAACAGAGGCAGAGTATCAATCTATTACTGTCAAGATTTCTTTCTCTCTCTCAAAATGTTTTAATTTTCTGAATCAGTTAAGCAGAACAATGCGAGGCAATCTTTATAGCAAGAAAAACGCAAACCATGTTAAGACGTTTGATTGTGGTATTTGGACAGCCACCATGGATGGCTTTCTTGTGATTGCTTTTCTGTATGACAAATGCTTAAAATAATTTAATATTGATTCAGTACGAATGCTGTTGCTGTATTGTCAACAGACAATACTGTACCTGCATAAAGAACAAACTGTATCCTGTCTCCTATGTGGTTTTGGTTCCAGTAAATGGTGCTTCCCACAGTGCCATTGGGTGCAGGGACAGCCAACGGACCAATCAGAAAGGCGCAGGCTGACCCCAGGTAGCTGATAAGCGATGCAACAGCCGTGGCTGTAGCTCTCTGATCAGGAGCAAACCAAGTAGTAGAGAGCAAAGGACCAGCACTCATAATGGTAGGACCAGCTAAACCATTTAGAAGTTGACCTCCATGAATCATCCTGTAGATAAAAAAGGGGGGGGGGGGCATAATGAAAGACACCATGAGCACTATATATATATATATATATATAACATGTTAAAATAAAGAACATATGAGTGAGCTTTTTCCTGTAAAAGCCACCATCACAATGCTATGTTGCACAATGCTGGCTTTCCAGGGCATTGCTATACGGCTGATAAAGTGATGTGAATGTTTTCATCATGTTGCTATGCAGTTGCTAGGGTGTTTTGGGTGGTTGCTTACTGACAAGTCAAAAAAGGCCGCTCAAGTATCCATCAAGTCACAACACACAAGTCAGACAAATGTCTGAAACATTAAGTAATTAATTATTCATATAAAAAACTGGTCTAAATGCAATACCTTTTAGTTGGTTTCTAAACAGCAATTGATGCTCTCCTACATATCTATCAGAGGTGAGGTTTGATAGCAAGGGAAACAAAAGCTTTATCTGTGAGACAGGATGACTGAGTCCCAGCGGGAAGACTTATGATAGCCTAACTGCCTGAATATACGCTGCAGTGCTTGTTCTCAAAATAGATCTTCAGCGCTGGTGAATGAAAGTGAGTGAAACACTTTTCCATTTTCTATACATACATATTCTAATCGTATTAAAATTAAATGTACCATTATTCTTCTACCATTATTCTACAGTATTATACTGCACGGACCAAAAACTTCAGTGATTATAAAAGGAGCGCTCTTAACTTTCTTTGTGTGATTCCGTCGCAAATTGAAGAAAAGTTTTTTTTTTCAAGTCACTTTGTGACTTTTCTTATTTCATACACAAAGCGCAAAACTTTGATAAAATTAGATTTCTTGATGATTTGATATTTTAAAGTGATTTTATAATATCAAAATATAAAGCAAAAAAGTGGAAATGAATGACTAATGAGCCAATAAGTGCTCCTCTGCTGCCATTTACTGCTTATACTGGTAATTAGATGTCTTTTTTATTTTAAATTAGTGTTTGTTTACCACAAAGTATATTTTGGTCATCCCATTAAAAATAATATTTAAATTGGATAATTTTTAAAGCTTTAAAGTGCTAGAAATAGTTGTGTGAAATACTTGAAAGTCATTGAACAAACCCTGAAATTAATGCCACAACGCCATGGTTATAGTTATCTTAATTACTTCTGGTTTTCTATGTCAGCGCTGTTTGATCTGTTTATAACAGAGAATTCTGTGCAGAATTGGAATGCTACATCTCGCAGCAACCTTATGCATTCTGCGGTGAATTCAAATGTTTCTCACTAGATCTCGCAGCACTGTGCAGTAACACTCAGTACGTTTACATGGACAACAATACTCAGATTTTAATACGATTAAGACAATACTCTGATTAAGAATCTACCATGTAAATAGAGATTTTTGATTACCTTAATCTGGCTAGTCATAATCGAAGTAAACAGAAATCGAATTAAGACATGTGAAGTATTTCTATTTTAGTCACATTACTGAAGTGCAGAATAGAAACACCTTAATCACATTATTACCGTCGTGTAGGACTTTTCGCCGCATTTTGCGACAGGATACACACACTGCAGTGCTCAACCGTTTGAAGGCAAATAAAAGAGCTTCAACACCGCCATCGTCTGTATGCACGTACAAATAATTATCTGCACTTGAAGCTTTCATAAAATTAAAAATGAAACACCCAAAACTGTACATGGCATCATTACGAAGACGACCTATATGTTTATACTAGGGATGCGCCAATCCGATATTCATATGGGGTATCGGCTCCGATAGTGCCATTTTTCTCGGATCGGGTATCGGTCAGAGAGGCCCGATCCAAATCCGAGATTTTTTTTTTTCGATTGTGCGAATTATTCTGTGTTACTTCTGAAGCCATAGGATAGCTTAATGGTCGCGTTCGGTTACAACAGTCAGCTCGGTAAAGCTCTCTCCAAGATCATTCTGTGTTCCCATTATACTTGATTTGTAAATACATGTCTATGATTTTGCAAAAAGGACTTTATCTTCTTGCCGGAGTTTGTTTTGTTACTTGCTACTGGGTGTCTGTGAGAACAAACAACGAATCGCTTCCAATGTGCGCATCCGGTGTGCAGAATGATGCACTTGAAGCAACATGGCGTCAGGCTGTGACTCCATGTTGCTTCAAGCGCATCATTCTGCACACCGGATGCGCACATTGTAAGCACTTCGTGCTCATAGACTGTATAAAAACTATGCTGCACTGTATTTGTTTTGTCCTATTGTATCTATCATATGTTGTTGCCTTATTAAAAAATATGCTATACATTCAAAAGAAATGCATTTAAATTTTATAGTATATACTTAAACATATATATGAATCAACCCTCTACATTGCGAGTAAATCACTCGCATATGCGACTAAATCTTCACTCTAGGCGACTAAATGAGGTCTAATATTAGCCAATGGCTAATAAATTCTTAGATTTTACTTGCCAGTGTGTGAGTTGGAGGCTGAGTATAAGTTTAGCACAGATATATTTTCACTCACAGAACACTCTGACCGAGCGCTTCAGAGTTTCACTCTCCGTCAAGCGATCTGTGCTATTTATCATTTCATCTCAATGGATGCGCAGCGCACCTGTGTTTGTGTATTTGGCGTAACGTAAACTCTAGTGTGAAAGCGCACGACTCGCTGACGCTTTCTCTCACACGTGCAAAGTGAGAGAGAGAGAGCGAGAGAGTCTTACATAATATGCAGAATTGATGTGATACATGTAAAAGATATTCTTTGTTTTATTTTCCTGTCAAAATAACGGAGTTCCTTTGGAATTCTTCAGCCTTTAAGAAATGCCGGGTTTTCCGGTAGTGGGCGGAACTAATGCGCAAACGACAATCTCATTGGCTGGTGCTCACCTATTATCGACCCTGTTTTTATTTCAGCAAATCAGTTCGAGCGAACGCACACAACCTGATTAATATTCATGAATCCAGAAGCT